TAATTCAAAGGAGACTCCTAATCTGAAAAATGATTGAACAATGATAATTGTTCTAAAAATCAAGAAGAAAAAAATCCACGTGGAGGAAACTGGGCTGGCAGAATAGTTAACCTTAGCTGTACCTCTCTTTCCGAAGGTGCTTTGCTCTCAAGGGTAGCAGTTTTACTTCTCAGTTAATCCCGCGGTTCTCAGTGTTTTCGTTGACTAGAAAGAGACTCGTTGCATCCAACCCACAAAACCCATTGATTTGTTCCTCAAAAGCTCAACCTTCTCTTTTTCTAGCAATAAGCAATGTTACATTGAAGTGAGTGTTTCCTCGCTGGCTCCACTTCCCCTGTCCTGCCCCACAACACGGCACCCACGTTCCCTTCCTTGGACACCTCTCAAGAGAAGGTGGCGACGGTCCCAGGCACAAACCTTCCTCCGTGCAGATTGCTTGCTTCTAGAAACCCCTCGGCGCCTGGTGTGTAACCTCCAGCAAGAATTCTGCCTCCTCTCTGGCACCAAGCAAACACAGGGAGGCCAGGAGCTCTGATAAGAGGATGCTCAAGAACCTGGGCTCTTGGGTACTGCAAATGGAAGACAGACGGTTCCCAGTATTTTGGGGAGGTCATGTACCTGAGCAGAAAAGTGTTATTTTCTAACATACTGATTGATACAGATACATTTTTTTCTTATCGCTGCTATTGACAGGATATTTTTTGCATCTTCTCTTTGACTTAGGCCATTAGCATGCCCAACGATGTTTCTGTTGGCCAAACAACGTATGTGTTTGGTTTTCTAAAACGGCAGCTAGCTCATTTCAGAGTGTAATAGTGAACAGGGAGCAGGGAAGGATTCTTCTTAGTACGTCTGAAGAGTATGCACGGAGTGCAAAAGAGTAATATTCTTTCCACAGAACCGTGACCCGCTAACACTCAGCACGGTCTTCTGTGGTAAGCGGCCATCAGCAATGACAAATACGTGAAGATCTCCCCAAATATCTTCAATTATCTCGAGAAGTGCCCTAAAGAGATGATTTTCTTTAAGCTAAAAGGCTGCAGGGGAAATGAATGCTACTCAGGGTTGCAGAACTGGGAGTCTAATCTCTGCAAGCTCTCTGAATTTTTTTATCACATTTTCTTTCAGCCGAGTGTAGCTTGTGTTCTTTTATCCCTCTTGTCTTTTAGCAGCTTTACCCTCCTCTTTCTGTATTAAGGCCAAACACAGTCCACCTGAATCCACTAAGTGAGCACTATGCGTAAACTGTGCTGCTAAAAAAGCCCTTGAGTAAGCACAAGTTGTTTGCTTAATCAGTCAACTGTGCTAAGAATATAGGTAGTTATCAACCACCATTCTGTCCGAAAGGACAGTGATTTTTGCACTTAACCATTTTTAAAAATAATTAAGTTTTGATTTGAAATCTCTGAGTCAGGGAACTAGAAATGCAGAGGGACGGGTAGAGAAGACAGCTTGGATCACCCTCGTCCCTCCAGATCATACAGCAGCGCTCGGCATAAGTTCTTGGTAATTTGTAGTTGACTGTGGTCTCTGTGGCCTAAATTATTCCAGTCATCAAGTTTTATCCTTGGGTTTCCCCATTGTCTTGAATATCCTTATAGTGTAAAAATCTGTGGAATTTTAAAAGATAAATTACTCTCTATTTTGTTTTTCTTTCTTGTCACAAGCGCAGTCTCTGTCGCGCTCGCCAACACCTCCTGGAATGCTTTCCATACCTTCATAAAAGCTGGCATGTTATTTTTTGTCTCTCTGTAGAGAACTGTTTTTCCTGCAAACATGCTGTGAGAGGACCCTGTGGTTCACAGGAGCCTGTCCCTGTCCTAGCGAGCAGTTTGGGACAGCAGCGCAACCGTGTGTCCCTGTAGGCACAACCAAAAGCTCTTCCCTAAGGTGGGAAGAGCTTTGCACTTGGACTGCTGCAGTTACTTTGTGACATTTGTGCCTTGCTTTTTCAGCCTGTGTGCAAAATTATTTTGCTTGTTTTTTTTTTCTTCAGCGTGCTGTATCGGTGTGAGAGTTTTTTTAATTCATTCCTAAGAGCTAGATTCAAAACTTACTTCTCTCCATCTGTGCTCAGTCTAGGACTTTATTGGATTCTTTAAAAAGACCCTTGTTTTGAAGGACGTAAAAATGTTGTTTGCATGCAGCATTCGAGTAAGACTTTGTAACAACCATGGAGTGTCATTTCTGAAGAGTTGCAAACGTTGCTTCCTTCGCCAAACAACTGCAAAATGCGCAACTGCGAAGGAAACGCTTTGCATATCAAGAATTTGATCAAATATCCTAATTATAATGAAGCATAAAGCACCTCAAAAGAGCTTGTTTTCTCTTAAAGGAAACAAAATCAGCCTGAGTTATTTTTATACATAATTAACACTGTTTGCTGTTTTAAGTACCAGGATCAGAGTTGTCCAAAGAAGTTAAGATTGTAGCAACATCAGCACTTTTCCCGTTTGCTTTGCTTTTATTACATTCTGGCATCACAGCTAATTTCTAATCAAGTAAATGTGTTTGGAAGCATGATTCAGGGGAGACGATACACTTCTACACGCAAGATGTAAAATGCATGAATCCAGTTTAATAAAAAAGATATTGCACACTGTGACATGGATGCAATTATCTCTGTAGCAAACAAATGAGCAGTATTTTTCAGGGTGCATGGTGCTATTAGGAGGCCAAAGGAGGACAGGGATTGCTGACATGCAAGGCTCTACACCAGCAAGCCACTTATTCTTGTACATCAGAGACCTGTGGTGACAGTAGGAGTTGCCTTCTGGTGGTTTTTCCTTCTCTCTTTAAAACATGCTGGTCTCGTGCTTTTAACAGAAGACACCCCTTTGGCAGGATCAAGCATGGGGGCCCCTCATCCCATCGCTGTCTCATTTGCAGATGTCATCTTTTCTGATCCAGCCCTAAGAAGCATGAGCAGAGCAACGTACGGAAATTTAAGCTTCTCTTTCCTTGTAATATCTAAAGAATGTGTTACTACTCGGGATTGTCAGCTCGGGCCAAGGCTGAGCCAGAGCCTGCTGAAGTCACTGCAAGGTTGTGATTGCCAAAAACTACCACTGACTTCAGCGGGTCTTGGAGCAAGCCTTTAATGGGCACAGAATTCCCTGGGAAAAGGGGTTTCTTTACAGAAAACCCTTCTATAACCAGTCTGTATCAGTTAAACAGCTCTCAGTACCTCCCCGCACAACCGCCGCTCCGGAGGCAGGCACAGATAAGCAGGAGCGTGGAAGAAGGGCTTCACTTTTTATCTCATATGGCTCAGCTCAGCAGTAATTAGCTTCTGCCTCTGCTTCTGTGGGCCTCCTGCACTCCCCAGCTGCAGCAGCCAAACCTTGCTCCAGAGGAGAACTTAGACAATTATCTCGGGGAATTTATTTCCCAGCAAGAATACTCACATCTCACTTACTCGCCAGTACTTCATCACCAAGATGCACAGCTGTTGAAGGGCTAGCCAGATCTTGGTCCAGTCGACTGTCACGTTCAATAGCCCGTCACCGCAAGCGTTTCATAAACGCACATTTCCCAGATCTAGCTGCACTCTGCCCTTCCTCTGCTGATCGCTGTCTGGGATCACAAACTAAAAAAAATAGAAATCCCCTAGTTACTTCAGAATAATTAGCACAAAACCCCTCATTTTCAGCGGAAAAGTTGTCCTTCAGCCTCTGAAGGCAGCTCGTGGTGGGCACTCCTCCGTGTGATGCCTCCCGGTACTGCCTGGGCAGCAGGGGACGGAGGAAGGAGGTGTTTTTGCTTCGCCAGCAGCAGTTTGTACTGTCGTGCTTGGAGCATTGGAGCATTGTGCATTTGCCATCTCCGAAGGGCACCGTTAGCAAGAAGCGTGCCTTTTTTTAAAGGAATGAACAAATAGGGATGAAATCAAAACCTGCTGCTCTGCTCCACTTTCCATCTGTATTTCCTTCTAGAAATCTTGAACTTATGTGTTCTCGAACTTCCTCATTTTACGAATCTCGTCTTTCAACAGCCATTTCCATCCAGAATTACTAGTGTTTCATGTACCATCTAGGGTGCTTTGCCTAATGTTTTCAAAACCAGCTGCAAAGTATAAATCTCTGGCACCTCATATTTTTAAATTACTGTATCTGCTTCCCTACCAGTTGTACAAAGTGTTTGAAAAAAACAGCATTTTCTCTGCAGTGGAAAAACATTTTAGTCTCTGCTGAAATCCTCCAGGTTTGTTGATGTTCTGCTTAGCCTTAGTGTCTTTTACTATCCTGTGTGATACTTGGATGCTGGCCAAGCACATATAAATTGCTCCCACTCATGCTCTTTCGAGCCTTTTTATGTGCCTTTCACTGCTTTTGAGTAGATATTTTAGGCAGCAGTTTAGTGCTATCCCAATTTTTTAGCTGGCTTGCTTTCCTCTTTGTGAAACCCATGGCATCTCTTTGCGGCTAAGTTTACTTTGGGTTTGAGGATCCGTGTGGATCCCTGGATGTGGGACCGCCGTGGGGATGTGCTGGGTTTCTCCTGATGCTGGCAGAAGGGTGTAGAGGGCATGAGACATGGTCTCCTTGCCCCCTTTCAGAGCCACTTGCCTCCCGTCCGGGCAGGCGAGCATCTAGCACATTGGCAGGGTGAGGGAATACACATGTAATATGATGTTTGAGAAAGGTGAGCGCAGCATAACAACAAAAACCCGACAGAAACTCAAGTGAGGCACTAAGCTCTCTGTCCAAACACAGGCTTGCTAGGAGGGCCTTTCACTTTAACCCCCACCTTGGCCTGCATTTACCGAGATATGAAGTGACTGTCGAAGCACAGACCCGAGCTGAGTGTGAACAGGCCTCTCCTCATGCAGCCGATCTTCTGCGCCCCATCTATTGCAATAATTTTCTAGTGCTCTGTTTGATGGATGCTGAACGCATGGTGGTTTTGTAGACATTGTAATGATGCTGTTTTCCCGTCTCATTCCATGGTTTGTTGCTGTTTTCTTGAATGCTGATGCTGAGCAAAATTTCCCTTGGCAGGTTACCCAGATGGACCAGAAACTGAACCTCATTACAGATCTGCTGCATCATCTGGTTTCCAGTCAGCAGGGTGGTCACGGCAGCATCAGAGCGTCTCAGAGGGGCAACACTGTTAACTCGGATCTTTTCCTCCCTAATAACACTCTGCCAACCTATGAGCAGCTGACAGTGCCAAGAAGAAACCAAGACGATATCTCCTGATGTGGTCGGCATCTGGGCTGGGTTCTTCCCACCTTTCTCTTGTAAATGAGACTGAATCTGGAAGGAATTGAGTTCATCAGCCATCCAAGAAAACACAAGACTGTTGTATCTATATTACTACTCTCAAAAACCTTCTTCTAAAAGTTGCTCATAATAGACTAAGGATTGCCAAGCTGTTTCCTACCAAACTTACTGAGGTTTCAGGTTGATTTTGTTCAAGAACAAATGATCACAACTCCTTATTTCTCGGAAAGACCAAGACAATGTAAAGACAGGAAAAATTGCAAGGATTTAGAGCTCCTTTAATAATAATAATAGCAATAATAATATTCTAATAATACTTGAACTTAGATGGAAAATGTGCATTCTGTTTATGGATCTGCAGATAGCAATATATTTCTACTACTAAGTTTTTTAAAACAAAATAAAATAACTTATGTTGGTTTTATTGTATAAACATACCACTAACATTCTAGAGAATGACAAACCACATACTGAATGATTTTACTTTTTCTGTTTTATTTTAAGGTTGCTACATAAACAGTTATCAGATAATGGCCAGATTTTTTAAATCTGTTTTTCTTCAGGGAGGAACTAATCCTTAATTTGGAACAATACTATTTATAGTGGAAAGCGCTATAGATTTTTTAAGATATCAGTTTTTCGGGGAGACAATAAAGTATTGCATAGAAGAAATGATTCTACTTTCTCGAAAGTTGCTGCCAAAGAATTTATATATAAATAGAAAAACACAGTGGTCTGAGTGTGCTTGTCCTGAAATAGCTTTTAAAAAGAAGACTTCCTACTACTTGGCTCTTTTTTTTTTTTTTTAAGCTTACCCTCTCCAAAAATAGTACAGCAGCACACATGCAAAAGGCAGAAGTGCCTGGGCTTGCCGGTCAAGTGCTTGAGCTAGCCGCTTAGTCTGCGCATCCTTCATTCCTGCAGGAACTGAGGCCCCCGTTCAGGAAAGCCTCTCTCATCCAGGCAGCGTAGAGGGTGTTTTGAATAATTTCCTGAAAAACAGCTCTAGAAGTTCAGCTCCTTACAAGAGTTATTAGATACGCAAAAGTACCAGGCCAAATTGAGAGGACCTGCAATCTACAGAGTTAAACCACGTTTCGCCACATTGCAGCTGCATTAAAAACAGCAGTGCTTGGCTTCGTGTGATTTTGCACATGCACAAAGTGAGCAGGATTTGGGCTTTGATTACCAAGGCTGAAGTTCAGGCCATGCAAAAAGTCAGCACCTGTAGCACGTAAGCCCTGAAGGAGGAAGGTCTCCACAGCCAGCAGTGACAGGAAGCTGGAGGATTACAGCTTTTTAGCTCTGTAGCAGCGGGAACACATATTGCTGCAAAAGGAGAGGGATTTCTTGTGCTCCGCGCATCGTGCGTCCTGCCCCCCTCGTCCCCTCGCTGTGTGACGGTGGCCTGAGGTGCGGGCAGCCCCGGCCTGGGCGCTGGCAAAGCCGTGACCAACCTGTCCCCTGCCTAGTGGTGTACCAAAATGCAAGGTTTAAATGCTTGTTTGAAGGAGAGCAGACTTAAACAGAACAAAACAAGGCTGTTGGAAAAACTAATGCCCTAAAGCCTCATAATTTTGCAGAGCGGTTAATATCACCAATCTTTCATATATAGGAGCAGTCTGAAGTACAGACGTGTAACAAACTGAGGTCACAGGCACCTTTTCATAATGCTGCTCATATTCCAGGACTGCTTTGTTCTAAACATTTCATCTATGCCACTTGGACTGCCGAGAACTGTATGCTGTATTTAATGTTACAGATTATGTTAAAATTATTCAGTCTTGCTACTGTACAGTAGATAAATGTTAAGGGTGTGGAAATTTGCAGACATAAGCAGGGATTATACCTGGGCATTATGTTTTATAGAAATCAAAATTGTGATGATTTTGAACATTTTTTAAAATGAGCTTTGCTATGTAATTTCAGGTTGTCAGTCAGCCTGTTAATTTCCTAATAAAATTCAGGACAAGAGTGCAATGTCTTTTGTTCTTTCTAAAATCCAGAAATTCAATACACACAGAGAAGTTGTTGGCTTTGCTTTTCTTTTTCCCTCTGAGCTCACCATACACGGTTTAGATGCCTTATTTGCAACACCAGGCTGGACAAGCATCCTCAACCCTTTTCCTGACTGCTAGAGAAATAAGAAAATGGGACTTAATTAGCTGAGGTGGCCCTAGAGAAAAAGATGCATATTTCAGTTCATGATAAAAGCAGACAGATCCATGTGATTTTTAGAGGCATTAGGTTGATCAGAGAATGCATCCATTCCTACCTCTTTCTTCCCACAGTCACCTCTACATTTTCTTTTTGACAACTAGGTTCTTTGTTAGCAATATGGCGTAATAAGAACCTTTTGCGGAAGATAATTTCACATTAATGTTGATGTGTTAGTTTGTCTACAGGTTTTCCGAAATCACAGTCACCGGAACCCTCCAAATAATCACCGCTCAAAGACCTAGTGACAGGTTGTGTCGAGCTCTGTGATTCCAGGCTGGATCCAGCTGGCCCCTGCAGAAGCCACCACACCAGCTCTGAAACCTGCTGCTTCGTACCCGCTAATCCACCTTGCCCAGAGATCAAGAAGATCCACCCTCCAGGCCAAAGACTTCACCCTGCAGTAAGTACCTTCAAATTTCCCTCTCATCAGCGTGTGGTAGGAGAGCAGCACAGGGAGATGAGCATTTTCTCAGGGCCTTCGCAGAGCTCAGGTAACTGCTGAAGCAAAAGGCCTTCCCAAGGCCTGCTCCGTGCGCGGCCGTCGCCGCAGCGTGTTCCCCGCGCTGTCGGCAGCGCAAGGGCTCGGAGCCCGGAGTGCCTGCTGCCAGGCTGACAACTATAGGATGTTGGTTTTTAGCTTCCCTCTGACACAGGCCCTTACAAAAGAAGAACAAAAGTCCAGACATCACTCATTTTCCCCCTTGTGTTTTGAAGTAGCCTTGCTTCGGATAATGTAATGGGCCAGCGCCGTGCTCAAATACTAGCTGAGGCAGAAATAATGTGATGTATTAGTCAGCAGATTAAATAGCCATTTTAGTGCAGCAAGTTGGCGGCTATTGTTGCTAGCAGACACCTCCGTGCTGATTTATCATCAGTTCCGAGGAAGGTGGAAACGTTTCTTGGCTCCCCCACACCCACTGAGCTGGAAGGGTTTGGGCAAGAAACAAATTGCTTCTTGCAGTGTGAAAAAGTAAAATACAGGGAGATTTCTTTTTTTTTTTTTCTTGGAGGCTTGAAGGAGAAAAGCTAAAACCAGTTTTGAGCTAATCCTGGTGTCCTCTGCGGAGCGGAGAAGGGTTGTTCTTGTGTGTCTGATGAGGTGGTGGTTGGGGAAGAGGAGAGGCTGGGGGAAAAAAGTGATTAAGCGTCTGATGTAACTCCCACTTGTGTCCTGCTCCTGCACAAATGTCTTTGTGAGCTTCGTTTCTGCACGGGAGTTGTGCTGTTGCCTTCAGCGCTAGGTGCTACTGAGTCCGTGCAGGTCAACGTAACTCTTTGCGAGTTGAAAATCAATGTTGAAGAAGGCTTCCCTTGGGTTTAATGGAAGCTGGAGTGAGTCATGTGTGCAACATTGCTTTCCTCTTGGTGAGAAGGACATTTGAATTCACACATCTCTGTTTCCCTTTTCTATTTGCAAGCCATTGGCTTATCCTGCTTTCACCTGCCACTCACGTTTTCAGGCTCTGACACTGAGAAGTATTTCTTTGTACTCTAGTTACGGTACAGGATACCTCACCTACTACACTTGAACATACACAGGGATATGTTTCTGGACAAAAACAAATACTTTTTATAGGACCTAAAATTTCATTTAAATGAGCTTATAAAAGGTCTTGTATCTCGGGCCGTACAATCTGTGGCAGCCCTGATAAGGATACGCAAAAGGAAGCAAAGTCAGAAAGAAGGAAATACTTTTGATACAAGTGCAATGTGAAGCCCCTTGCTACAGGATTGCACTGTTGTTCACGGATATTTAAGTGAGTCCCAAGAAGAATTAGGTCCCAAGCAGTAACAAAAAGCTCCTAAGCTCAGACAGTAAATAACAACAAGCAGTTCAGTGAGCTCTGCCTTTTCTGTGCCTTGCCAACGCGCTGACATTGATGCCTTAGAAGTGCGGATTTCAGCTGGGACGTTGTCATTGCTGCAGCGTTTAGCTGGTTGCTTCCAGTGTTGCTCCCCTGGTGCCTAAGGAGATGGGAGCTTGTGCCCAGCCTTTCCACGGTGAGGACACGTCTCTGGGGCACTGATAGGACCTCTCTCTTCTACCTCAAAGCCTATTTTTGTAAAATATATAAGAACTTAATTATTTTGTAGGCGTTGACCCTCCTGTCAAGTTTAGTTGAACGAGGCTGACGAGTTCCAAAGTTATGAGGGAGAGCAAAACAAATGCAATGTGAGTGTCTCGACCTTGTGTCTGTGGGAACCAGGCTAAAAATACCCCCAAAACTCAGCAATTTGGGGTGGAGAGAAACCTTCACAAGCTGAACAGGTCTCAGCTCCTGGGATCAGGAAGAAGCTTCCATTTGCCAAAGACTAAGACTCCTCCTGAAGTGTTGCTAGCGGAGGGTTTCCTTGCCCTTAGACCAGCTAGTGAAAATCGCTGGAAAACGGAATCCATTTCTGCGCGCGCTTCGGCACCTCTCGCATCGCTGCGTGCGACAGCGACTTCAAAGCCCGCATGACAAAATGGTTGGCGTCGCCACAAAGAAAACGCAGGTGCCGAACGGGCGCATTATGGGGCACGTCCTTGCGCATTGTTTCGCTGCGGCCCCTTGTCCGGTGAAAAGATGCCTGCGTCGCTGGCACGGGAGCAGTGCCAGGGGAGGCCCGGAGCAGCAACGTCGTCCAAGGCAGGCAGAGAGTTCACGTCACTCCCACATGGGCTGGTGACCGCTGCCTACGGGGAAAAGCCTCCCGGCCTGACATGAGCCATTATGCTCCCTGCCTGTGGATTTGCACGTTAGAGGGAGCGGGTGGATAAAGCCGGTCTTGAAATCATCTCGGAGCTC